CCCCCCCAGGATATTGGTACCCCTCTGGTTCAAGTGTAGACCATCCCATTTGTAGAGGTCCCACCTACCCCAGAATGAGCCCCAATTATCCAGGTATCTGAATCCCTCCCTCCTGCACCATCCCACATCTTGTGGGAGTTACCAAATGGCAAAAGTCTGTTAACGAAAAGGTAATTGTCAAAGTGTAATTCAGTGGATTCTGGAACAAGGGAGTTTCCAGTTTAAGGATATAGTTCAGAAAGTGACTAGATCTTGCAATTTAACACCTAAAAAAGGTCTTAGTAATGTCTTGCAGGAAAAGCATGATATTTACATTCCTGTACATGAGGCTAAGTTAAAGCCCATCATCAAGTCCAAGTTCAGATCCAGGTTGTCCAGTATTTACATTGGAATTAGAACCAGTTAGTCTGCTCCAACTGGAATTAGATCTGTAGCTTCCCACGATATCTGCATCAGTATGTGGAACTGGATCTGTCAGTGACAGATTCCACAGTCCTTTGGAATAGAAAGGATGCTCAAGGATCATGACTAAAGAAATTCCTCAATGCCAAGTGGTCTTTCCTATTCCAAGATCGTCCCTAGTTCCAGATTCAGGCAGGTGAAGAGTCCTTTCTGCATCTAGGAGCAGCAGTACAGTAAGCAAAGTGAACTTGAGTGTGAACAGGAGCTACTGGATAAATAGCCGAGGAGCAGGGTTAGAGTGGTGGCAGAGTTCTAGAGGTAAACAGGAGCCATATGCAGGCTTGGCTGCTCAGGAACCAGGTCAAGAGATTGGAGTATGTCTGAAGGGAGGTGGATTATAGAGTACTTTTGCCATTGTAATTTGTTGGAAGAGAGAAATCTGATTTGTGGTTAATGGGCATTGTCTGTACTTGACAAGGTTCAAAAATGAGAAGAGAAGTCAGCCCTGTGAAATATTTCTGCAGTGTGGAAAAATCAGGGACACTGGTGAGTACATGTGGATTATGTTTAACTGCAACTCCAGATTGACCACATTGGAGCCTGGAGCTGTAAATGGACTCAATTAGCATGTTTAGTGAGTTGGTCACACCACCACTAAGGGTCAAGAAAGAGTTGATCAGGAAGACTAGCAAGTGTTTACTGGCAGTGCAGGAGCCTCCTGCGGTCATTCCCCTTAAACAGGGATACCTTTTGATATTGTGTTGGCTTCAGGAAGCAACAGCAGCCACCAGATCAGTGGCACCACAACTGGTGCTGTTGTACAGCAGAGAGGGTCAAAGTTTAGGTGAGCAGTAAGATCAGGGACTCTAGCCAGGCCATAAGGGAGACTCCAGAATGGTGTTGCCTCCCTGGTGCAAGGATGAGAGTGTACACAATATTCTGAAGGGGTGGTGAGCAGCAAGGGGTTGTGGTCCACTTGGTACTAAAAACATAGGCAGTAAGAGGTCCTGCAAGAGGAATAAGGTAGTTAGGTAGAAAATTGAAATACAGAACCTCTAGGGTAGTAATTGTTGGGATTACTTCTGGGGTAGGTGGGAACTGAGGATAGGTTGCACCATATCCTTTCAGGGATGTTTGCTAGTGCCACTGTTTAAAATAGTGAAGTGATGTAGGAATAAGAGCAGGAGGTCAGCAGTTGGTGTTTGAGGAGAGGGGCTATATCAAGTCAGTTTCATAGGAAGAACAGTCAAGGCCAGGTTACTGAACACAGCCTGACCAGGAGTCTGAAACAGTCAGTAGTACAGCATGGATACAGGCC